TCGCCGTCACCGACACTATAGAACGCAACACTGGAAACTACAAAATTTCAAAAACATTGGCATACATGATACTTAAGCACCACCAACCCAACAACACAGGAGTCACATGATTTCGTCGTCTGCCCGTCCTAGTCATGGGCGGAGGTTGTTTTGATGAGGACCTGCCTCGCATGGGCCAGTAGGCCTTCTACAGTGTTCCTCCATTCTTATGTTCTTATGACATTCCTCAGGTCACGTGTGTCACACCTCACTCTCCGCCTATATATATAATGCCTTTCTACCTCTGTATGTTAGACGGGTCATCGCAAGATTGGGACCCGTGCCAGGACTATGGTCTTGGCGAACATTATACATACATACCTCTGTATGTTAGAAGTGATCAAGGTCCCAGGACCGAAACGTTTTCTAATAAATATGTCATAGTGTTTGCTTACGTGTCTTTCTGAACCAACTTGTCGGTATTTATTACCAAGGTTTATACCACCAACATTGTACTACAGTCTAAGGTGTACCAACATTGTACTACAGTCTAGGGTGTACTAACATTGTACTTGTGTTGGCAATATTAATGGTCACCATGTTCTCGGGGGGGGGGGGCTCACTGTGACTCCTGCGACATTCAGTTAGAGACTTTTCTCGCTACTCTCCCTCTCCATGTTTAATACGGGTACTCCCACCCATTTTGATCCTCTTACTCATTCTCTCTTTTGCATTGATCTCTCGGCCTTCTCTGCCTAAACTGCCCTATACTTTCCGTGGTCTGTCCTCCCGGACTTGCATGGCAGCGATCATTCATCCTTACTACTTTGTATTCACCACCTCCTCTTAGTCCACGCTTTGCAGTTTGACCGAGCGAATTGGGACGATTACTCGTGTCAAACTACTTTTAGCGAGGATCCTTCTTCGTCGTCCATTGATGATCTTTTATGCCTCGACCTCAGTTTTAACCGCAGCTTCACATTCTATACCCTAAACCTCGGGCAGGCATTCTCAGAGGTCCGTGCTATGGTGGTCTCCTGCTTGTGCTCGGGCAGTACGTTTGAAACGCACTGTTTGGGACAAGTATCGGTACAGTAGAACCACAGAGCGACTCGTTAATTTTAAGCAGAAGAGAGCAGTCACCTACTATGTCATCCGTGACTCTAAACGCACTTGCTGGCGGGATTATATTTCTACTGCTTCCTCTATGAATGCAGTCTGGAAAAAAATACGGAAGTCTGGAAAAAAGTTCGGATTGCCGGTGTCGCTATAGCAAACCCTCTTGACGTGCCCACCGAAATTGGCAATCATCTTGTCCGTATCTCTCAGGGGCCCCATCTGTGCCCCCCATTTCTTTCCTCCAAGTTTGCCAGAGAGTTAAAGCCCTTAAACTTTTCTTCTATCTTATAATGTGCCTTTACACTTCGGGATGTGGAGGCAACACTCCCCGCTTACCGATCATCGGCACCTGGGCCTGACGGCATCCATATTCGTATACTACAGCATTTACATCAGTCAGCCCTTGCAGTCCTCTTACGACTCTGTCATCTTATTTGGTCACAAAGAGTTCTTCCCCAGCCGTGGAAATCTGCCATTGTTCTTCCTTTCCGCAAACTGGGTACTACGAGACATAATGCCTCCCACTACCGTCCCATTGCTCTTACCAGTGCAGTGGTATTTAGAGATACACAATAGTCTCTCCACTAGTCAGTATAGCTTTCGTTTTACTATCGACCCCTTACTTCACTTAGATACGTATGTTCATAATGCCTTTGCCAAAAACCACTCAGTTATCGCCATCTTTTTGACACTGAGAAGGCATAGGATACAACTAGGAGATATTACATCTTGGCCCAGGCCCACTGCTTAGACCTCCGAGGCAGTCTACCATTTTTCCTGAAGAACTTCTTATCTGAGACACATATCTGTGTTCGGGTTAATAATATTCTTTCCCCGGACTTTGTCCAAGCTGAAAGGATGTGTTGTGACCACATCACTTTTTCTCCTTGTTATAAATGATCTGGTATCTATTCTTCCATCTATTATTTGGTCGTCACTCTATGTTGATGTCTGTGCAGACGCTGACTGTCACCTCATTGCAGTTTCTCTCTAGAATGCTGTGGCCCTTGTTTCCAATTGGGCCACCACTCATGGGTTTAAAACTCACCAAATTACTTTCACTAGACGCTCAGTCGTCTCTGATCATCCCTTGTACCTATATGGGTCGCGTATCCCAGAACGTGATACGGTCAGGTTTCTCGGCCTTCTGTTTGACCGTCAGTCATCCTGGAAACCTCACATTACCTCTCTGAAGGCAACTTGTCATAGCCGGCTGAACCTTCTTAAAACTCTCGCTTATCTTTCATGGGGAGCTGATCATAGAACCCTCCTTCGACTACATTCAGCCCTAATTTTATCGAAACTCGATTATGGCGACTAGGTATATTCAGTGGCCTCTCCTGCAACTCTTTCCAGCCTTAATCCCATCCATCACCATGGATTACGTTTATGCTTCGGTGCTTTTCACTCTTCACCTGTTAAGAGCCTGTATGCAGAGGCGAATATTCCATCCTTGACCGATCGCTGTGATGCTCATTGTCTCTGCTATTATGTTCGTTCTCATGACCTCCGCAATCCTTCCATGTATAGGATAGTCACGAATGTTGGTAGAAGTTCTCTATTTGTTCGTCACCACTGTTTACTCTGTCCCTTTTCTCTTCGACTACATTTGCTCTTGTCTTCTCTTCAGTTACCACCTTTCTATGTTCATGTAGCATCTCACTTTTCCCTACCCCATTGGGAAGTTCCAGGTGTTCGTGTCTGTTCTTTCCTACTGCCATGCGCAAAAGCCCAACTGCCTACGGTGGCTTCTCTCTCTCTCTCTTTCTTAACCACTTCCGATCTCATTCTCATACCATCGCATTGTACACCGATGGTTCTAAGTCTTCTGACGGCGTCGGATTCACAGCAGTGTTTCCAGGCAGCGTCGTGTGAGGGCATTTATTATTCTCGGCTAGCATTTTTACGGCTGAATTGTATGCCATTCTCGTACCGCTTAACTGTATTGCATCTATGCCTGTGTCACCATTTGTGGTCGTTTCAGAAACCCTTAGTAAGCTTTACAGGGTATAAGAAAATTTGATACACTTCATCCCCAAGTTCTTCGTATCCAACTTTGGTTATGCCGTATCTCTAGCAAGCACAAAGATATTGTTTTTTTGTCGGGTCCCCAGTCATGTTGACATACAGGGCAATGAACAGCAGGAGGTGTTTCATTCACAGACTATTTTGCTATAATTGCTACTTGCCTTCACACCCGTTGGCAACAACGTTGGTCTGATCTGTTATATAACAAATTGCATTCTATTAAACCAAGTATAGGTTGGTAGGTAAGACACATAGGCAACAATTAGGCAACTTTATTCCGAAACGTTTCGCCTACACAGTAGGCTTCTTCAGTCGAATACAGAAAGTAGGCAGGAACAGTAGAGATGTGAAGACGATGTAATCAGTCCATCACCCTTGAAGTCGTAGAATTTGAGGTTGTCAGTCCCTCAGCCTGGAGAAGTTCAGTTCCAAGATCAAGCGACAGTGCGGAGACTTAAATACTGTCGGAAGGAGAGGTGCAGAGTAGTAGTAGTAGTAGTGAGAATGTAGCCACTGAGAGGTCAGGTCCCTCTCAGATCCAACAGTTCTTACTTGAAAGGGTTGTCCAAGGTGTTTTCTGTACCAAGAGGCCATGTGTTGCAGTGTCTGACAAGATTAACATCAAAGTGGTATACAATACCGACGTTTCGGAATAAAGTTGCCTAACTTGCCTATGTGTCTTACCTACCAACCTGTCGGTATTGTATACCACTTTGATGTTCATCAAGTATAGGTTGCTGGCCTTCTTATCATCATTGTCGAGGTTGGGAGACTACACTCTCCCGTCTTCGTATCGGACACACTCGTCTTACTCACGGGTATCTCATGGAGAGGCGCCATGGGATACCCGTGAGATACCTGTGAAAATTGTTAGGCTCCAGTTTCTGTTAGCCATATTCTGATGGACTGCCCACTCTATCAACGAGCACGCAGAATTTACCTCCAACGTCGTCACCGCTCTACTGCCCTTACTTTACCTTCCCTTCTTGCTGATGGAACCTCCTTTAACCCAGACTCTCTCGATGACTTTTTGACAGAAACTGGTTTACTGCACAAATTTTGATGATGATGATGCCTCTAGGATTCCTCACATCCCTTTCTACCTCACACTCTTGCTACCCTCTCCCCCTGCACTATCCCCCGCCTCTTGTAGGTTTAGCTCTTCTTGTTGACTATAATAAATCATCTATATACAGTCAATTCTCATACAAAGTTCCTCTATATACCTGGAGTATACTCAGAAAGGGTTCCTGGGGTTAACGCCCCCACGGCCTGGTCTGTGACCAGGCTTTGTGATGAATCAGCCTGATCAACTAGGCATTGTGGTGGATCAGGGCCTGACCAACCAGGCCTAGTGGTGGATCAGAGCCTGATCAATCAGGCCTCGTGGTGCATCAGGGCCCGATCAACCAGGCTGTTACTGTTGGCCGCACATAAACCGACATACGAACCAGAGCCCGGCAAGTCAGATACTGACTTTAGGTGCCTGCCCAGTGCCTTCTTGAAGACAGCCAGGGGTCTATTGGTAGTTCCCTTTATGTATGCTGCGAGGCAGTTGAACAGTCTTGGGCCCCTGACAATTACTGTGTTGTCGTGGTGCCACTGCTTTTTAATGGGGGAAATGTTGCATCGCCTGCAGCGTCTCTTGCTTTCGTAGGGAATGATTTTCGTGTGCAAATTTGGTACTATTTCCTCTAGTATTTTCCATGTGTATATTATCATGTATCTTTCTCGCCTAGTAAGTTGAGCACTTATTGTAAAAATGGCAATGAAAGCCAGTATTGTCTGGGGAGCTAGAGTTCAACTTTGCATTGTGAAATATCCAAGTAAACTTGTGTACCATATATCTGTATTGGTGTAAGTGTCTTGAACAGATTGAGGAGGCGCACGGTACCACTGTGGAATATAGGTCGCACGATGACGACGAAGACAAATACATTGAGGAAGATGAGAGCGAAGAGGATGTTGACGGTCCAGAAGAGGATGTTGACGGTCCAGAAGAGGATGTTGACGGTCCAGAAGAGGATGTTGGCTGTCCAGAAGAGGTAATAATGATGCACTATCATTAATAATGTGTTAGTCCAAAGTCTTCATTGCCTTTACTGTTTTTATATGTGCTGCTTCATACTCTTTTCTGACTCTGGGTTTGTGATTATTATTATTATTATTTTATTACATATTACTATATTATTTCACATTTTATTATATATAATTGTTCTGTTTATTGTGACATGTCTTACCACTGCCTGTGAAAGCTGGTACTGTACCTTGTGGAACACTTGTAGCCACTACTGTACCTTGTGCAACACTGCTAGCCAGTGTTGTACTTGGGGAACATTGGTAGTCAGTACTGTACCTTGTGCAACACTGCTAGCCAGTGTTGTACTTGTGGAACATTGGTAGTCAGTACTGTACCTTGTGCAACACTGCTAGCCAGTGTTGTACTTGTGGAACATTGGTAGCCAGTACTGTACCTTGTGCAACACTGCTAGCCAGTGTTGTACTTGGGGAACATTGGTAGTCAGTACTGTACCTTGTGCAACACTGCTAGCCAGTGTTGTACTTGTGGAACACTGGTAGCCAGTACTGTACCTTGTGGAACACTTGTAGCCACTACTGTACCTTGTGCAACACTGCTAGCCAGTATTGTACTTGTGGAACATTGGTAGCCAGTACTGTACCTTGTGCAACACTGCTAGCCAGTATTGTACTTGTGGAACATTGGTAGCCAGTACTGTACCTTGTGCAACACTGCTAGCCAGTATTGTACTTGTGGAACACTGGTAGCCAGTACTGTACCTTGTGGAACACTGCTAGCCAGTATTGTACTTGTGGAACACTGGTAGCCAGTACTGTACCTTGTGGAACACTTGTAGCCACTACTGTACCTTGTGCAACACTGCTAGCCAGTATTGTACTTGTGGAACACTGGTAGCCAGTACTGTACCTTGTGGAACACTTGTAGCCACTACTGTACCTTGTGCAACACTGCTAGCCAGTATTGTACTTGTGGAACATTGGTAGCCAGTACTGTACCTTGTGGAACACTGGTAGCCAGTACTGTACCTTGTGGAACATTGGTAGCCAGTACTGTACCTTGTGGAACACTGGTAGCCAGTACTGTACCTTGTGGAACACTGGTAGCCAGTACTGTACTTGTGGAACGCTGGTAGCCAGTACTGTACTTGTGGAACATTGGTAGCCAGTACTGTACTTGTGGAACATTGGTAGCCAGTACTGTACTTGTGGAACACTGGTAGCCAGTACTGTACTTGTGGAACACTGGTAGCCAGTACTGTACTTTTGGAACATTGGTAGCCAGTACTGTACCTTGTGGAACATTGGTAACCAGTACTGTACTTGTGGAACACTGGTAAAGTACTGTACTTGTGGAACACTGGTAGCCAGTACTGTACTTGTGGAACACTGGTAGCCAGTACTGTACTTGTGGAACACTGGTAGCCAGTACTGTACTTGTGGAACATTGGTAGCCAGTACTGTACTTGTGGAACTTTGGTAACCAGTACTGTACTTGTGGAACACTGGTAGCCAGTACTGTACTTGTGGAACACTGGTAGCCAGTACTGTACCTTGTGGAACACTGGTAGCCAGTACTGTACCTTGTGGAACACTGGTAGCCAGTACTGTACCTTGTGGAACACAGGTAGCCAGTATTGTACTTGTGGAACACTGGTAGCCAGTACTGTATCTTGTGCAACACTGCTAGCCAGTATTGTACTTGTGGAACACTGGTAGCCAGTGCTGTACTTGTGGAACTTTGGTAGCCAGTACTGTACTTGTGGAACACTGGTAGCCAGTACTGTAACTTGTGGAGCACTGGTAGCCAGTATTGTACTTGTGGAACACTGGTAGTCACTACTGTAACTTGTGGAACACTGGTAGCCAGAACTGTACCTTGTGGAACACTGGTAGCCAGTATTGTGCTTGTGGAACACTGGTAACCAGTACTGTACCTTGTGGAACACTGTGAGCCATTACTGAACCTTGTGGAACACTGGCAGTTAGTACTGTACCTTGTGGAACACTGGGAGCCAATACTGTACCTTGTGGAACACTGCGATTAGTACTGTACCTTCTGGAACAATGAGATCAGTACTGTACGTTCTGGAACACTGGGATCAGTACTGTACCTTGTGGAACGCTGCGATCAGTTCTTTACCTTGTGGAACACTGGTAGCCAGTACTGTACCTTGTGGACCACTGGTAGCCAGTACTGTACCTTGTGAAACACTGGTAGCCAGTTCTGTACCTTGGGGAACAATGGTATCCAGTATTGTACTTGTGGAACACTGGTAGCCAGTACTGTACATTGTGGAACACTGGTAGCCAGTACTGTACCTTGTGGAACACTGGTAGCCAGTACTGTACATTGTGGAACACTGGTAGCCAGTTCTGTACCTTGGGGAACAATGGTATCCAGTATTGTACTTGTGGAACAGTGGTAGCCAGTACTGTACTTGTGGAACACTGGTAGCCGGTACTGTACCTTGTGGAACAATGGTAGCCAGTATTATACTTGTGGAACACTGGTAGCCAGTACTGTACTTGTGGAACACTGGTAACCAGTACTGTAACTTGTGGTACACTGGTAGTCACTGCTGTAACTTGTGGAACACTGGTAGCCAGAACTGTACCTTGTGGAACACTGGTAGCTAGTATTGTGCTTGTGGAACATTGGTAACCAGTACTGTACCTTGTGGAATACTGGGAGCCAGTACCGAACCTTGTGGAACACTGGCAGTGAGTACTGTACCTTGTGGAACACTGGGAGCCAATACTGTACCTTGTGGAACACTGGGATTAGTACTGTACCTTCTGGAACAATGAGATCAGTACCGTACTTTCTGGAACACTGGGATCAGTACTGTACCTTGTGGAACGCTGCGATCAGTACTTTACCTTATGGAACACTGGGAGCCAGTACTGTAACTTGTGGAACACTGGGAGTAAGTACTGTACCATGTGGAACATTGGGAGCCAGTACTGTACCTTGTGGAAAACTTCAAGACAGTACTGTACCTTATGGAACACTGAGAGCCAGTACTGTACCTTGTGGAACATTGGGAGCTAGTACTGTACCTTCTGGAACACTGATAACTAGTACTGTACATTGTGGAACACTGGTAGCCAGTATTGTACCTTGTGGAGCACTGGTAGCCAATTCTGTACCTTGGGGAACAATGGTAGCTACTACTGTAATTTGTGGAACACTGGTAGCCAGTATTGTACCTTGTGGAACACTGGGATCAGTACTGTACCTTGTGCAACGCTGCGATCAGTACTGTACCTTGTGAAATACCTGTACTTGAGAGCCATTACTGTACCTTATGGAACACTGGGAGACACTACTGTACCTTGTGGAACGCTGGGAGACACTACTGTACCTTGTGGAACACTGGGAGTAAGTACTGTATCATGTGGAACATTTGGAGCCAGTACTGTACCTTATGGAACACTGGTAGCTAGTACTGTACATTGTGGAACACTCCTGGAACAATGAGATCAGTACTGTACTTTCTGAAACACTGGGATCAGTACTGTACCTTGCGGAAGAAGTGGCTACCTTCTTTGTGGAACACTGAGAACAGTACTGTAGCTTGTGGAACACTTGGAGTGAGTACAGTACCTCGTGGTACTCGGGAACAGTACTGTACCCTTTGGAACAATGGAAGTGACTTCTGTTATTTGTGGAACACTTGGAACAGTACTGTATTTTGTACAACACTGGGACTCACTACTGGTGTTTGGGGAACCCTGGGAACAGTATTGTTCGTTGTAAAACACTGAGAGTCAGTACTGTTCTTTGTGGAACACTGGAAATAGCACTGTTTCTTGTGGAATACTGGGAGTGACTATAGTTCTTTGTAGAACACTACAAACACTACTATACCTTGTGGAACACTGAGAACAGTACTATACCTTGCACAACATTGGGACTCACTACTGGTGTTTGTGGAACACTGGGAACTACTGTGCCTTGTACAACACTGGGACTCACTACTGGTGTTTGTGGAACACTGAGAACATTACTGTACTTTGCGGAACACCGGTAGCAGCTACTGTTCTTTGTGGAACACTGTGAGCAATGCTGTACCTTGTAAAACACTGGGACTCACTACTGGTCTTTGTGGAACACTGTGAGCAGTACTGTACCTTGTGTGACTTTGTAAATGATCCTAGTCGGACCGAAACGTCGTCGTAAGCTCCTCTCTTCTATTTGACGGTTTTTGTGTATTGTTGCAGTCACGGTATTGTGCTTTTTTTGTAAGTACTGTATCTTGTGGAACACTGGAAGTGACTACTCTACGATGTGGAGTAGTGGAAGCCAGTACTGAACGTTGTGGAACGCTGCGAGCCAGTACTATACCTTTTGGAACATTGGGGGCCAGTTTTGTTCCTTGTGGAACACTGGGAGTGACTACTGTTCTTTGTGGAACATTGGGAACAGTTCTATTCCTTGTGGAACACTTGGAGTGACTACTGTTCTTTGTGGAACACTGGAAACCGTACTGTACCTTGTGGAACACTGGAAGCCAGTAATGCACATACTGGAACACTGGAAGACATTACTGTACAATGTGGAACACTGGGAGCCAGTAATGTACCTTATGAAACCCTGGGAGCCACTACTGTGCTTTGTGGAACACTGGGAGACATTACTGTACCTTGTGGAACACTGGGAACCAATACTGTACCTTGTAGAACAGTGTGAGCGCCAGTACTGTACTTTGTGGAACACTGGGAGCCAGTGATGTATTTTGCAGAACACTGGGAGTCAATAATGTACCTTGGAGAACACTGGGAGCCAGTTATGTCCCTTGTGGAACAATGGGAGTCTGTACTGTACCTTGGGGAACTCTCGGAGCCAGTAATGTACCTTCTGGATCTTTCGTAGGCAGTACTGTACCTTGTGGAACACTGGGAGTCAATAATGTACCTTGTAGAACACTGGGAGTCAATAATGTACCTTGTAGAACACTGGGAGTCAATAATGTACCTTGTAGAACACTGGGAGTCAATAATG